TTAAGGTACAAAGCAGAGAGGGTTTAGCAAATCATGAACTGTTTTTAATTTGCCTCATTAAGCTGCTGTTAACTACTTAAAGCCATCTGCTTAAAAATAATTTACACATCTTAAGTTTGCTCTAGAGAGCAGGTAGACCTTCATTAGAGGAGGTTTTGTTATTAATGTTATCTTTAGGGGGCTATCAGTTGTTGTGGAAAATATTTTATTGCTCACTGAACCAAACTTTCCCTGTAAACCAAAGGAAGTGGTACGTGTTTGTAACGCGCAGTCTGCTGCCATAACCGTATTCTTGGGAACCAGTGCTGTTTGTTTAGAAACTGGCTTGCTGTGGAGGACTATTTACAACCATTAGGTAGATCTGGGTACGAGAAAGGAGAATGAGCTATGTGAATGCCTAGTATCCCTATTATCTACTACCATTGCAAAAAATTAGTCCTGGAGAGGAAGAACAGCTGCATCTGTCACAGTGCCTCAGCTGTAATTGAGGAGGGGGAACCCTGCTGCCTATGCTCTGAAGAGCTAGCTGAGGAAAAAACAAGTTTATTTGTCTCCCCAGATTTGTAAAGAAACAATTCCACTTACAGAGAACAAATCACCAGAGCGCCACAGACTCTCCCTCCTATCTCAAGCTGAGATTCATTGTCATTTCAGTTAGACAGCATGTGTGCTTCTTTCTGACCTGCTAGGTATTTCTGTGGTTTGCTGTGAAATAATTGTCTTGCTGCTTGTCAGAGGAGACTGTTACAGCAGCGAGCTAATGGATTGCTGATACGAATAAGATCATTTGGAGTGAAACTAGCTTTAGAAATATTAGATAATGATGGTGTGACAATTGAAAAGAAGGTCCTCCGCTCAGTCTGTGGGAAAGAGGTGGATGTGATTTTTGGAATATTAGCTGAGACACAATACTTGACTAAATATAGATCTTCTTTTAGCAACAAATTAAAAACTCATTAAAATATTGCTATGAAATGTTTTTTTCAACTGCAAACTGTTTATTAAGAAGAAAAATGCCAATATTTAACAGGATGTACATCTTTTGAAGTATCTGAGCAAAAATGTTGCCATGAACTGTAAATATTATTGTCTTTCTATTAAGATTTTGTTCGGCTCTTTCTGGCAAGGAGGAAGCCTACAAACAGACTGACTGCACGGGTTTGCACACAACGTGCTTTCAAGTGTGTGACAAACCAGAAAAAATACAGGGCTTTTTGTAATTGCTTTTGGTTGCAATAGTTGAAGGTAGTCTTTGCAACTGCAACTACTATGTCTTTTAGTTTAAAATAAGACCTCCCAAGGAATTCTTGACTGGAATCCTTTTATGTTTGCCCAGTCATCTGGGCCTACATTTGAAAAAACGGGGAATGAAGAAAATATCTTAATTTGTCTTGATTGGAAGGAATGAATGTTCTAAAAATGTATACATGTCATTGAAGAGAATATGTGGCTTCTGTCATATTTGATCTGCCCTCATACTTCTGTTCTCTTTGCTATATTTGTCTTAATCTGGAAAGAATTTTACTTCAGGATTTCACTGTGAAACACTTCTTCACAGTAAAAACCTTTAAATGACATAGATCTAATTAAATAATTCTTGTAGATCAAGTATGTTAAAAATGAAGTCCATTTTTAAATTTGCAAAATACTTATAAACATTTTAAACATAAAACCTTCACAGCTGTCTGCTGAAGAGTACCCAGTGCCAAGATGCTATTGTAAACTCAGTTATTCAAATCAGGAGTTGTTCCTTTTTAGTACTCTGGCTTGACATGCAACGTTAGGACGGATTGAAAAACTTCAAAATATTTTATGTGCAAAACATTTTTATGAGCAAAACATTTTGAGTTGAACTGAGTTAAATCTCTGAATCCATCTGAGCTGTAGCTCAAATAGCAGGAGAGAGTGATAACCACCGTCGACCTTCTGATGATAAGTTTGGGTAGGGAGCTTTGTTTATAGGACAGAATGATATGTGATGGCCCAAATCTACAGTTTTCACCAGCTATATATTTGCTAAGGAATCCTGAAAAATGTTTCTTTAGCATTTCCACTCTAGGTGAGAGCAAGTTGTCGGCGTCCCACAATCTGTCACAAAAAGTGTTTTACTTTTCAGTCATTTCTAGTTGTAGTCCTTACACAAAATGCAGCCAATTCTGCTTTAGCAACACCTTCTGACACTAGCAGAAGACCTGAAGAAGATCTTGCCAGGGTGCAGTTAATGCAGCTGTAGAAGTTGGAAAAACTTGCTGTACTTAAACCTCAGTTCAGCTGCTGCGGTGGCCTCCTTTTCACTTCCACCCTCTTCTGGCTATTTTTTGCAGATGAGGGGAGGGGTTAGGGAAATAGAGAGCTGTATCCCAGTGCAGCTCCCTTTGAAATACTGCTTCCCTTCTGCCTGAAAGATACCTGGGTGATGTCTTACCACGTGTGACCACCAAAAATATTTCATCTGTCTCTTTCCTGCTACTGAAGAGAAGGAACAGAATCAGTTTGCCCTTTCTGACAGGTCTGTTGTCTGGTCCAGCTGTGAAAGGCATCAGCTGGGGAGCGGAGGAGCCCACAGTTTAATGAGAGAGGAGCCTTGAAAACTCCTAGTAGTTGAGAATTGGAGGGAGGTATAAAAACGGGAATAAAGAAAACACTGCTGCTGGGAGCAGCAAGGCCGTCAGAAGCCCTTAGCCTTACCGTGGTTGCTTCTTGCTTGCTGAGTGGGAGGAGGATCTGTGTCTGAGAGGCTTGTGCAGCTCTGTGCTCTGAACGCATGAGAAGGTGCAAAAAAGGCTGTCTAGAGGATGGCTCCCAGTCCTGTGTGTCCCGCTGCTACTGGTTCCTCCGTTCCCTGTGCTTTCACCTAAGACAAGAAGCAATGTGGAGGAGGAGAAGAGCTGCTGACAGGAGGGAAAGACAGTTCTCAAATGACTGCCTGAAGAAGTAGATGTGAAACGGGGCACGTTTCTGATATAATTGACCTTGGAAACTCACCTGGAATGCGGATTTCTCTGTTCAGGAAATAAACCTTTTCCACTCGTCTTCCTGCTCTTTCCTGCCCCGAACCCAGCTGGAGCCGCTTCAAGATGAACCGTGCTGAGGGTTCGGCAACCCTGTCCTGGTTGGGGACTAAGTCCATCTGTGACAGAAATCTGGCAGAGGAGCAGCGCTGACTCAAGTGACAGAGCTCAGCTGGGGAAGAGGCAACAGCTTAACACAAGTCGTTTTAAACCCTGTCTCTTGTGAAGATGGCCCCTGAGTAGTGCTGACATGAGTCGTAACTTGGAAGCCTTGGGATGGTTTGTTTATTTTTTTTCTGAAAACCACAGACCCTTAGTTCTTGTGTCTGCTTGAGAACGTAATTGTGCATTGAAGGAGTAATTTCTAGCCCTTGCATTTGTGGAAGAAAGTGACTCGTGACCTGAATGCCCTCTTACAGCTCAGAGCTGGAAAGCTTATGAAAACTCATCCTTTGTGGTTAAATCACTGAGTAGCTGGGTGTGAACAGGCTGTCTAGGAGATACTGAGCTAGAAGAGAAGGGCGTGAAGTAATCTGCTCCAAATTCACAAGCTGAAAACAAATGGGAAAGCTACAGGCTTTCCACCTGCTCCTTCCTTTGTTTAGAAATCCATTGGTAAGGAGCAGAGGAGTCAGGAGGCAGCTAGAAGAGTTAGGATAGAAGCATCTACCAGCTCTAACCTCCTACTCACATCTTCAGAGACAAGCAGACGTGCTGGGGCAGGACGGTGCTTGGAGGAAAAGAGCAGGATAGCTCCAACCTTTCTTTTACACCTTTATCCCAGAAAGACCATGAATAATAGCACTTTTCTGAGGTACTTTGGAGAAGGAAGTATCGTATCTTTTCTTTTTTTCAGCCGGCAAAAGGGAACTTGCATGACAATAACAGCAGCCATGCTTAGGGCACTGAATTTCTGGCATTGTCACAAAGTTGGTCTTAAGCGTTTCCTTCGCCCAGCTTCAGCAGACTAAGACTGTTCTGGTGCCAGCGTTTTGGGAGCTGTAATGTTGGGAAAGAAAAGGTTATGTGCTGTTCTGGTTGGAGTCACTTATTAAATCTCATAGAGTGTACTGCTTTTTGAATGAAGGGTGTACTGAGGGAGTGCTTGCCGGGGTTGGAACAGGAGCTCCGAGGCTGAGTCAGCCCCTCAGTAGGCTTTTTGTGGGGATGTATGATAGTTTACCCAAAGAGAAACGTAGGCAGTTCTCATGTGGTCTGTCAGCACAGAATAGCGATGACTCTACTTGTGAAAGGCAACCTCTGCAAGGAAAAAAAAAAAAAAAAAAGCAGGTGACAAAAAAGTAATCTGCGTGTTTGGAGGTTGAGTTTATGTGGTGGTGGATTCTAAGTCAAGCAGCTTTACTTACCCTGTAGCACATGGCGTGGCTCTGCACGGCTGCTCAGACGTGGTAGAACAGAGCAGGGCTTATGTTGTACACTGCAAAGGCAATTTGCCTCCCTTTTGACTGAAATAATTTTAAAGAACATTGACTTTGAGAAATTCATTAGTCTGTTAAGTAGCTACCTTGTTGGAAATAAAAATCTCCTGGAAAGATTGGGTTCTGTGTAGTTCGTGGCAGTTCATAGCCAGCCACGTGACCTGGTTGCATCCTGGATACAGAGATCTCACGGTTTTTTATGTATATGTTTCTACATATATTAAAAAAAAAATAATAAAAAAAACCCCCAAACCCTAGCAGCTAAACAATTAGGTTCTATGGAATGAAGTAAAAACAGGTTAAATTACCTTTTTGATATGAGGGATAGCCTCTGCAGAATGACGAATAGTGAACACATACAGCAGGTTCCACACCTATGAAGTTCGGAGGGGATAGGGGGTACAATGCAGCTTTGTCCTGCTAAACAGGCTTAAAATATTGATAATTCTACAACAGTAGACCTTAAAAACGTAAGTTTATATTTTGAATAAATTTAAGGTGCTATTATATAACAACTTCAACCTTTTTTTTTCCTCTTTCCCTCCTACAGATCACACATCCGTGGGCGGGCTGGGAGACAGTTTTTATGAATATTTATTGAAAGCGTGGCTTATGTCAGACAAGATGGACACGGAGGCAAGGAAAATGTACGACGATGCAATTGAGGTGATTATAATTCATTGAGTTTTCCAATACAGTGGAACTTAAAAACCATCTTTAATACTTAAAAAAAACCCCACACCAACAAACAAAGAAAACCCCATAGGACTTGTTTTGATTATATAAGTTTTAAGAAATCAAGCGATGAATAATACTAGCTTTCTCTCCGAGTAGTTTAAAAAGTATTGTGGAATACATCTGATGCAGATTATTGTGCTAAAAATAATCAGCTTGTCCAAAATGGTATAATGTAAAAGCCCAAGCTATAGTTCATGAGAAAGAGGTCTAACAACCCTTAAGATGTGTGCAGAACGACCAAGTCACTTTTCTCCAGTGTTCAGAATCAATCATTCTAGGAGTCGAAGTCCTCAACTGTTTTATTCTTTAAATTATTTTCTAAGACATTCAGATGTTATATTCCATATTTATCTTGTAAAATATAGTTCATACCTATTCCTTGCTCTATGGTTCTTTTGTGATATGGTCTTGCTGCCTCTCACAGATGAAGTAGTGCTTGCCCAAGGAGGGCAGTACTGCGGGATGGTTCAGTGGGGTTTGGGGTGGGGGCCTTTTTGTGGTGGCTCTGAGCTTTTTATGCTGCCCAGCTCTTACTTTCTTAGTTTCTTATACACAGGCATCTTCTTTCATCAGGCTCGCTTGTGGCCATATATGCCAACACACCTATGCTACAGTTAAGGCACGTAGAGGGTAACTAAGGTAGTTTTAATCAATTTAGCTGTGGTACCAACAGCAGCAGGAACTGTGTAGTCTTGTCCAAGGGCAGATATGTGTTTGGTGCCTAGCTTGTTCCATGCTCTGTGCATGCCGCGTTTCCTTCTACACAAACTTTTAAAACTTAGTTTTAGTGCAGTCAGTCTCCTAAAGCAAAATGCCTGTTCTTGGAGTTCTCAAAATTCACCTTTTAAAAGATATATAGTGAAAGTTTTAGTCCAAAATTGCTTTGAAGCTGTAATATGTCTTACCCCGACCTGAATTTGATTACATTTGGCTTTCAGCTACTTGAACTTTTTCCTTTCCTACATTGTTTAAAAGGGTGTATCTGCATCATGTAGCTGGTTGCTAACAAAGGTACGATAGGCATTCTCTCCTGAAGGAGAAATGCATTATTTTCTTTAGTCTCACAATATAAAACAGATTTTGAATTCTTAAGCTTTTTTCCAAGTAGTTTCAAGTGTCTTCAGTATGGAGACAAGAACATAATGGTTCTTCTAATATGTCATCACCTGATTTCTTCTCAGTGTTCTCTTCTTCATCCAGCCAAGAGCTGTGTTTGCACTCTTAACCTTTGCCTCGCACTGTCATCCACTTTCCAGTTGGTTTTACTCTGAAATTGGTTATAGTCTTTTTGATTTACTGCTTTCCTACTACTGTGATTTACATTCCTGATTCCTCGATGTGTGACCTTATACTTATCTCTGTTAAAACACAATTGTTCAGGCAAAACCCATTTTGTCACCTATTCTGAATGATTTTACGGGACTGACTTTTCCTTTATCACTATCTATAGCTCCATCAATTTTTGTGTCATCTGCAATTTTTCTTACCATTTGTTTCTTGCCGATCATTGGTAGAAATGCTGCCTAGCATTGAATAAAAGTATCTTTGCAGAATCTTCATGGGATGATTTTTTGCAATTTTTTGTTTTACTTTGTTCTAGCAAGCCAACTTTTAATCCACTTCATGTGCTGCCTTGAATTTGTTTGGGACTAATATTTTGTACAATACCAAGGAAATTCCTGAAATTCCTAATATTCTTAATATCAGCATGCACTTGTCAATCAAACATTTATTTTTGAAACCACATAATTCATTTTATATGATTGTTCTTTTAGCCTTTTAAAATACTGTTAAAGCATCAGCTATTTCCCAGTCCTCTTGGCTTTCCAGGGTTTGTTAAAGTCAACATTAGTAGTTCAAAACACTGGTTGAGTACTTTTAATAGTCTAACATACTGTTTATTGGGTCCTGTGGGTTTAAAAATGTTTAGCAGTTGATGTTTAACATCTATTGGGGTTACTGTTGAAATATTTTATTCTGATTCCTAAACTGTGAGCACTTCAAAATTAGAGGAAATAAACTTTCCCTTTCATCCTCTTCACTGTAAACCCAGTCTTGCAAACATTTTGTATGGGCAAATCCCTGCCTCTGAATGGAGACACAGCAAAGCAAATTTGGGACCAGATGAAAACACACTGTGGATAGGAGGGAGAAAGAGCTGAGCTGCTCCTGCTTCGTGTGTGGTATGACCTGTAGTGTAAGCATCAGGTGGTTTCCTCTGGCTTTCTCTCAGCTAAACCCACCCAGGGTACATTTGAATCTGCATGAACCATACTGATTTATGCATCGTGGAACATCCTTCTGGTTCAGGGTTTGTGTTTATCCCAGGTCCTACTTGGCATTGAATGACGTGGGCAAAGAGTCAGTGAGTAGGATTTGTTTTACATAATTGCAAACTTGAGGTTTTATTTAAAATCTTGAAATATTTTTAAGAGCCCATTCCCTTACCATTCTTTTGGTTTTGCCCATAACATAGGTCTTCCTCCATAGCTGATGCTTCTTAATCTTTTTTTTTTTTTAAACTTGGAGCAAAAGCTCTCTGCATCATTTATGCAAGCAGAAGGGGAAAGGTGTAAAATACATTCTTCCCACTCATAGCACAGAGTTGGAAATGTTCTCAGCACCCACCAGTCTAAAAGAAGGTCTCTGTCCAGCCACACTTCACTCCCTTAGCTTATTACGGGGGGGAGAGTGGAAGATAGACAGCCATACCCTCACTCTCGAGTCTTGCAGTAGGCTGTGATATCCCATTCCTTGGAGGTATTAAGAGGAAGAAAGATAACAGCATCTGTTCTTCAGATGTCATGACCTCCAATCCATGGCATATGAAGCCTTACCCAGGTCACCACGTACTTCATAACAAGAGGACGGACAAGTTCTGTATCCGTGACCTCTCCGTGCTATATAACGTTAGTGCAAAGGACACTTCATTTCAACATCCTAATACGTAGATTCATGCTGTGATAAAAACTGAAATTGTGAAACTTGTTGAGAATTTTTTGTGGTGGTAAATATTGAGTATGGACCTCTTAACTTTACTTTCAATGTTGTCATGCGGATCTCCCAGCTAGTCTGGTTTGAAGTGTCTTTTCTCCTTCTCAAATCAGCTGGAGGATAGGAAATCTTCCTTTTGATCTGTGGCCTTGAGTAGCCTAACCTGTTAGGCTCACAAATTTGATCCTCGCTCTTTTCTTGTTGCACAACACTAGATAGCTAAAAGAAGGATTCAGCAATGTGTCTGACTATTGCAACATAGCAAGTACTGCTGCAAGACAGCTCAGAAAATGCTATTTTTTGTAGTCATAAAAATCACAGAAAGCATGAACATCAGATAGAGAGCATTCTGTTTTCACATTTCGGTCTATTGTTTTGGGCATTTCACAAACTAAGGCAGCTTCTTCCCTCAGTTAATCTCTCAGTTGATGTGAACTAAGTCTTTTCTTTGGGAGCTTAAGTACACACATCTGCTCTAGTGCATGTATACTCCTCGTGGTCCAGCTGGATGTCATTGCTTCACGGTACCTATCGGAGTGCTCTGTAGCCCCAGGCGTCCAGCCCAGGATACAAATGTCACATCTGTCCCAACCTCAGCAACGCCCAGCTGTTCCTTGTTAATTACTGTAAATTTTAATTGTCCTTTTTATACAGTCAGCAAGCAGTGGGTTGTGGAATGATAAAGTATTTTGAGAGGGTTACATTTATTTTCATTTTGGCCATGCTTCTTTTGTGAATCTTAAGACGTAACTTAATTATTAAAGTAGCTGACAACTTGATGTTCAGATTTCAAAAACTACCCCTTACACAAGACAGTGATGTTCAAGTTCAGAAGATGTGTTCTCTGTTTGGAAGAGGGGCACACTGCACCTAGATGATGTTCTTCAGTCAAACCCTGAAAGCAAGCAGCTCATGGAGAAGTGTATAAATTTGGCCTTTGTTGGCTCTCCTGGTGCCAACGACAGTCATTTTGTCCCCCCTGGAAATGCTCCTGCACGCATTTACTCCTCAACAGTTATGAAATTACAAAAAGATACAATTCTAAAGGGAATTTTGCAGAACATTTGGAAAAAACTGTTTTCCTCCAGGAAATAAATAATCCAAACCCTTTTAAGCCTTCTTGCTCTTCACGGTAAAAGTGGCTTTCCTTTAAAGGGGACTCCTCAACTTTTATGTACCATATGGTCAAAAAAATCCTATAATCATCAGCATGTCAGTTTTGTCACAGTCTAGGATAATTGAATCAACAGAGTTGATGCTACGGATCTTAGTATCTTCTTCAGTGGCAGAATTTTCAGCAGATCCAATCTTTCCTATACCAGTACTTGCAGAACCAATGAGGCTTGTACAGTTAACCACATCAGGCTCCCTAGCAGCAGAAGCCACAGTATCATGCCAGTTTGCATGATTGCTGGACAACCACTCTGGCAGCCATCAGAGACTTACTGGTTTCTGCTCTGTCAGTTATTTCTGCGTTCTTCTCGCTGGATCCTGCCTTAAGCACAAACTTCAGATCTGCTGGTGGCATTAGCGAAGAAGTTAACCCAACAGGAATGCAGACCAGCACTTTGCTTTCATCACCTTCAGAACACACAGGCTCAATAGAGGGCAGTGGAGAAATTTCACCATCCAAATGATGGCTCAGTCCACAGTGCAAGTAAGGAGCAGGACCCTACCGATGGTAACGCAGTCTTCTCCCTGTAGTCTGCTCCACTGGCTTTTAGTGAGTGCATTCACCTTGGCCCTATGGGGACTGCCAGCTCTTCACTGGCTGCATGGCTGAGGTGTAGATTCACAACAGTATAACCATTCAGAAAAGTTGCTGCAAGCACTTGCAGCGTCTCAGGTCAAGAACATATTCAGAAAACCCTACAGAAATACATGCATATTCAGAAACACAACTCTTTCAGATTACTGTTTATATTATTGTCTTCCCCAGATGAGGCTCCTAATCCTACAAATTCTGCCTTTTCTAACCGTAATTTCAATCATTCTGTTTTTAGAAAAGTTTTTTATTGAAGGAAGCTTTGGAAGGCTGTCAGGTGTTATTTCAGCACCTGGATGGAGGACTTCCATGCTACCAAATATTGCTGGGTTCAATACAGCTGCTTTAACAGTGCTGTATCACTTATGCATCAGCTTAAAAAAAAAAAAAAAAAAAAAAAAAAATTTAAAAAACCCTCCCCCGCCACAAAAGAGCTTGAAGCTTTTTTTGTCCATTTTGTTGAAAACAAAAGACAGTCTCCCTTTTTTATTTGGAGGGAAAAGCTATTTCACTGTCCACTTTAAAACCTGAATGACAAGTTGCAAGCTGATTAATCTATGTATTTATTGCTTGAATCTGTATTGTAGCGAACTGCATAGTTTGCACTGTGTAGATAGCAAGGAGACAGCTGTGTGCAGCAGACATGACCTCCACATCCACGATAACCGCTTTGGTTATATGCGGGATCCTCTGCCTGTGTGTTCTCAGTGTATCTAGTTTTAGTGCAAAATACAGTTGTGGACATCTGAGGTGTAATTTGTTGTAGGTACCAGAAAAGTAACGGAGAGGGGTAGTAATTCACTTCTGTAATAGATCTTGTGGATGGCAAGGAGAGTAGTAAATGCCTTTTTAATGGCACTTCAATACTTCAACTCTAATCAGCCTCGGAGTACTCTGACCAGTCACAGGTCATGCACTTTGAAGGAAGCTGTGAACCTGTCAGATGGTTATGTGTGGAAGTACAAAGGAGTTTTCTGGAAGGAAGACAGGAATAATGTCTTCATGGTAAAGAAGATAATTGTCTTCATTATTATTGGACTCAAACTGTAATGAGATTCTAGTTACAAGAAAAACTGTCTAATACTAAAGATAGTAAGTACTGCAGTAGATTGGTGGGGGTTGTGAAACTCTCTGAAGGAGGCTTGAGTAAACGTGTTGTTCCATATAGTTTGCAAACTTTGGAAAGTTAAGTCAGCTATTCTCCTTCCCGCTACCAGAAGAACACCATTTATAAGTCACAGGCAACAACATATTGGTACAAATGTGCAAAGACAAAGCAGCAGTTGCCTCACCTATAAAATAATACTGGTTTTTGTGAACAGCTGCTCTGACCCTCACCCGTCCTTTGACCATGTGCAATCAGAAAGCTGCTACGGACAAGCAGCTAGAAGGTGGCTGGAGCATTCCTGTCGCTTCTTATTAAAGACAAACTGAGAGTACAGGTGCTGCCTTTACAGATGTTGCTGACCAAAAGTTTCTGACGTGGGTGTATTTTCCGAGTACGCACAAACTGTACAGCAGAACAAATAAGTACTTCTCAGAGTTAACAGGTAGACAAACTTTGTTTGAGCCATAAAATGTGTTCAATTCTCAGCTAAAAGTGCAATGTTATCTATGTCATGATTTTCACATGTTTGATCTCATTAGCGTCGTTTAACACTTAGGGTATTTTTTTGTGTGTTGAAATTATATTCTTATAGCTGTTTGTTCCTGTAGTGCTCAGAAGAAAATTCTTTTTGTTTTGAAAACAGTACTTTCTTCTTTGAAGGAGAGTTAGTATGTAAAACTTGCATGTGAAACAGTATTTGAAAGTTCTCTTAATCTTCTTGTAGGCCATAGAAAAACATCTCATCCGAAAGTCCAATGGAGGACTGACCTTCATTGGGGAGTGGAAGAACGGGCACCTTGAAAGAAAGATGGGCCATTTGACCTGTTTTGCAGGGGGAATGTTTGCCCTTGGAGCAGATGGTTCCAGAGATGATAAAGCTGGACATTATTTGCAGCTTGGAGCTGAAATTGCACATACGTGTCATGAGTCATATGACAGGACAAGTAAGATATATTGCTAATCTAGTTATTTTAGTAGTTGAAATACATAAATTGTCATAATTATTTTTAAGGTTTGTTATGGACCTGTGCCTTGTCTAACATGCACTGTTTTTATACCAGTATAAGTTTTTTAACATCCATGTGTTTACTACCGATCTACATCACAGTGAGTAAATGTAAAACCAGACTTTATGTGGTTCCTTCCTGCATGTTTATCCCTGTTTTTGGTTCAGTCAGCTAAAATAGGTTATATGGGTGTGGGGAGGAAGGATTGTGTGTGAACTCTTGTCCTCTCAGATACATAGGGCAGTTTTTCATTTCCTATATACTGTTCTTGCAGTTATGTAGAGTGAACAATTTGTAAATAGACCTTTTACCATTTTTAGTAATAGTACATTCTGGGTAAGTACAATTAAACTAGAGAGGATGAAGATTAGTATGCAAACTGTGAGATGGCCAAAGACCGGATTAGTGAGGAGGCAATATCAGACTTCACTGTTGGGCTGGAAGTTTCTCAAGTTCACTATTCTGGACCAGGTTTATTTTAGATCTTTAATAGTGACCTTGATGCAAAAAGTTGAAGTGTGCTGATTATACTTACAGTGGCCATAAAGTCATAAGACACAATTAAAACAGAAGAGTCTCAGAATAGTAAACAGGAAGATCTTAAGGACTGGACTGTCAGAAATAAGAAGTTCACTAGAAAAAAGGCAGGAACTCTTTCTCTAAACTGGGAGCTGAAAAATGCCAGTGCAGTCCTAGTCTGTATCAGGTGAAGAATTTTCAGCAGATACGAGACAATATTAACACTGCCTTAGAAGACACATATAATTCGTCATCCAGAATACACTGTACAAATCTGAATTTCAAGCAGAGCAAATGCAGAGAAGGACCAACAGAATGGAAGATAAAATATCTTACAGTGGCAAAATAAGGGAGGTCAGCCTGCTCAGACTAGAAAAATAATGCCAAAGAAGGGAAGAAATTTGTTGTCATCTCAAGAGGTAAACACTAAAAAGAAATAGAGTTATTTTAAGATATAAACAACACAGTTGTACCAAGAGCAAGATTTGTAAGCTCGCCATGAATAAATGTAGGTTGGAAATTGGAAATGGCTTTGTGTAGCCATCAGAGAAATGAGCTTCTGAAATAACTTCCTAGTAGAAGTAATGGTAACTAAGACTCAGGCAGTTTTATGATGAGAATTCATGTATTTATTCACAGGATTACATAGCATCATTGTATAATTACCTGTCATTTTAAAGAATTCAATCACATAAGTGATACTTTTACCTGGGTAGCAACAGCATTAAAAAAAGGGGGAAGGAAAAAATATGAGGATGCTTAAGGAAAAAGGTAGGACATAGTAGCTATTGTTGCATTCTGAAAAACTGCATTTAAATGTTTAATTCGACACTTAAAAATAAGCAATGCTAAATTTACAGTTGTTTGTGCAGTCCTAATTTTATTCCTTCAGATGTTTATTCTGTACCCTAAATAAGTCAAAAGATGGGGGGGATAAAAGGTTTGGTTGCATATTTAATGACTGTATAAGAACACACACATGCAAGAAACAGACTGAAAGTTGTACAGACAGCTATAAATTGGCAATGCCCTAGTTTTCTTTTGTTCAGTCACGCAGTCTCAGGAATGTGGATTTTTTTTTGTGTTTGGGGTTTTTTTTTTTTGCCTGGACTGGTTTTTCAAAGAAAATAAAGAACTGTTACGTGCAAAATGTCAACTTCATTATGCTTTAACAGCAGGATTTGAGACATAATTGTGCGCTTTAATGACAGAACTAGCTGGTTGCAGAAAACAACTCTCTTTCAGAGGGCAGACAGTCTTCTGGTTCAGCTGATAGGTTTATGCTTCAGTCCGCAAAGGGGAGAGCCTGATCTCTTTCTCCTGCAGACTTGGGAGAACTCTTTGGTGTGCCCAGAGGAGACAGCAAGGTGCTGAGGCTGCGTGCTGAGGATAAAGAGCTCTTTTCTTCAGATAAAGGACAGGACAGCTCTGGTTGGTTTGTCTTCCCAGGGTTACTCCCAATAAACTGCAGTATATGCCTGTGTTTATAATATTTTAGTATAAAAATACTACTTTATGAAGCAACCTAAATTTCCATAAGGGCTGAGCATGAGGGAAAAAAACAATGCTATTTTAAGGTCCAGTCTCAGCAAAATCAAAACAGAATTTCACAGAATAAAAGCACTTCTGGAAGAGAAGGGCATTATATTGCCAACAGTCAGCAACCTGTTGCACATATTGCAGGTATGAAAGCCTGTTTAAAAAAAAAAAAGAAGAGAATTCGATATTTCAGAAAGCTTCAGGCAAACTAAATTCTATATTTGCTACTGTCTACCATAATGTTGTTATGTAAATATGGAATACCATCTCCTGAAATTCTGGTTTGAAATCATGCTTTCCATGTCTGGCATAAATAAACAAACATGGTGACATGACAGATGATTTAGGGTCCAGGACTTCTGGGTTTTCAGATAAATTCCACTACGGTAACTTTGATCTGGACAGGTTTCACCAGTGTGATAATAAGTATAATGCTCTTGTCTTGCAGTGGCAGTCCACATGCCTATTTAGTGTTGAGGTGATTTTCTTCCATGACATTTGTGGCTGGAGGTTCTTGATGTATTAGGATTTTTTTAAGGCAATAATCGTAACCTCTCAGGTCACTTTCCCCTCTCATACATTACCCTGTGTCTTCAGGCAAACTCGATCACCCTCTACAAGGCAGAGCATTTGTGGTGACTTCAGCCTGCTTTAACAAAACAAGACTTTACTTATTTTGTCAAGCTAATACAGCCCTTTCACTCGTTCTTGTCTGTTGCCCTCTCTTCTTTGTTTACTTGCCTTTGGGACTGAAGTTGTCAATTGATGTCAGAGTCACCCGTTGAATTACGATTGCCCAGACTCTCATTGTTTCTAAGACCATCTCTCTGGTCCCTTGGATGCGTTTGCTTCTGTTGATGGCTTCTAAGACCCTTGAGGTCTTAGACAGGCCATTATAAATCCTTCTCTGCTTTCTGGTCTACCCCGTGATGTCAAGCATTCTGTCACCATCCAGTTTGTGCTCTTAGCAGTAGATCTTCACGGTATTTGGGAGCCGTTGCCCCAGCAGGCAGTTTTACCCTCCTCTCCCAGCTGACAGGTGGAGCAGCAGATCGTATCGCAGGAATCCCACACAAGCCTAGCTGGGTTACAGTGCTCCCAAACATATTCTAACCCATTCCCCAACTCAAATACTTATTTTAGGTTCCCCAGACACATGATGAAAAGATGTGTGTTTTGCCATAAATTATTTGGGGAGGTTTGAGGACCACCCTGCAGATACAAAAGCATCCTGCTTTTTCACCTCTTTACTGGTGAAAAAATATTCTCGGCTGCCCATCCTTTCTTTCCATTTTGGCAACAGCAATCACTTTGCCCTGTAACCAGCAAAAGTTGCCACACGGTCACAGATTTGTACAGCAATGTTGTAAACTGACTTATTTGCCTTAGCCTTGGCGTCATTGGAATGACAGCTTTCCACTGGCATTTTGGGTATTCCATAGTCCCCTGGAATGTGTATCAGTGATCCCTTGCAGGTATTTTGGATGCTCACAGTGCATCATTGGGGCTTGCTGAAGATTTTAGGACATTTCTTAACTTGATTGAAAGTGTGGCACAAGCTAAAGCACACCATTACCTTTTGGACAGATTGTTGCTGGCGTGATACCGTGCCATGTGTCCCAATATATAAATAAGACCAACCTCAGATCCGTGAAGCTACCTTCGAGAGGCTGCAGCCTATTGCACCTACATGTCTTGCTGGGTCCTCTTCCTCAAATGTTATATGAGTTAGAGCCTAGAAAGTATTATTGTAATTATGAATCCTTTCTTACTTTCAGGAAATTTTGTGCTAGATTAACTGTAGTCTTAAATGAACACACAAAAAATTAAACAATGTTTTCAAAATTATTTCTAAAATTAGATACATAATATTTATCTAGAAGTCTGAGGATTTACCCTTATTTTCAGCAGTGGCAAATACAGCTCTCATTGAAGTCAACTTGAAATCAGTTAAAATCTCTTTTAAAATGGTACTGGTTTAGCTTTGCAATTTTGCATTATGGTGTGAAATTGTTTCTCATCTGCCCTCCCTGCCTAGACTATAGCCTATCAGCCATATTAATACTAAAATACCTGTATTAAAGTATGACCGCTATAGCATCGTAAAATGGCCTTAGATGGTTCTTTGCTTAGAAGAACGCTCCTCTGAAAGGTATTATGTTCTAGTATCTTCTTTACTTCAGTCAACTCTTAGTAGAAGTGCTGTAATTAATTTTACATCCTTGGTTTCAGATAAAAATTCAATGAGATTGTCACAATGTGCAGGGGTCACCCATCCTTGGGTGGTATAATTTCTTGGAGTGCCCAATAACATTAGAAGTAGATATGAGTAAATAATTAAAGATTTAATGCACCAGCAGGCTGCAAAGCCAGAGAAGGTGTCACAGTTTCTGTAGGTGACGCATCACCAGAACTGCCTGAAGCCCAGCTTGTTTCCTGGGTAAGAGTAATACAGCTGACATGTTTTACCTGATTTCCAGAAGACTTTTGAAAAAGTTCTCTACTAAGGCTTTTTAAGGCTATTAAGCAGCCACCACCTAAGCAGCTAGTACCTGCATGGAGAATAAAAATGGTTGTAGTGTAACAGGTAGGGTAGAGGTAAATAAATAGTCAGCTCTTGCAATGGATGAACAGTGGTTAACCACTGGTACTCTGATATATTTTATATATATTTATATAGATATGTGTATAAATACATGGTATTTTTATACCTATCTGTGTATAGATGCGTATAAATGTATAGTATGTTCACATTTAATATTTTAATACGTGTATATATAAATTTAAATATACATACACATATAAATGATCAGGAAAAGGGCAGGAATAATAAGGTAAATGTGCTGGTAGTAACTAAAAAAAAAATCTATTTAGGATAGCAAGGATGAAAGAAAGCTGAAAAATTACACAAGGACCTTATGAGGTTGAGTAATTGGGTAATAAATTACTAAATTAAATTCAGTGTAGTTAAATGTAAAGTGAGGCACCTATGAAAAAATTATTCCTAACCTCCCATATAAAATTATGAGCTCTTAACTGACCATTACAACTCAGGAAATTGCTCTTGAGATTATGAAAATGTCAGCTCAGTAGCAGTCAGGAAAAACAAAGTGAGAAAGAGCAAAATAGAAAATGTCATTGTGTCACTGTATTAATCTTGTCCACACTTTTAGTGCTGTATTCAGGCTGGTCCTCTCATTTCACAAAGGATGTAGTAGAATTGGAAGAGTTGCAGAGAAAGGCTAGATGGAAAAATAAAGGTATGGAACAGTATCCATTCAAGGAGCAACTGAATTGGATAGTATTCTTCAGTGTGGAAAAGGGACATTTTAGGTAGGATGCAACAGATTTGCAAAATCACCAGGAGACTGGAGAGAGTGGATAGGAATCAGATGTTCACTCTCTTCTCCGAGACAAAACCTAGAAACTATTGAATGAATCTAGTAGGAACCAAGCTGAAAATGGAAAAGAACAAAAAAAAGTGGGTTTATACCCAAGAGGTATTAAAGATGTGGAACTCCTTAGCAGAGGTTGTTTTGGCTGCTTAAGGCTTTTACAGAGGTTTAAGGGAACACCAGGTAAGTACTTGGGAAATAAATCTATTAAGAATTACTGGCCACATAAAAAGTATGTCTAGTTTGGGAGAAGCCTCGAGCTCAAAAAAAGTGGTGACTTGTAGAGAAGCTGGAAAAACGTATCTCATATACTTGGCCTGTTCTTCCTCTTCCCTATCCTTGTCTGATTTTGGCTGTTGTTAGAGACGTGATACTGGACCAGACAGAACTGCCGTCTGGTCCAGTATGGCCATTCTTATCTTCTTAATCTTGGATAGGTAGAACTCTGTATCTAATCTCATTGATTTTGCAGTAAAATTTGTAAATTTTTTTCACTGAAACTGGTAAAATGGCCCATTTTGAAAGAAGTATCATAAACATTTCTTGATGGACTTTTCCTTACCATGCACGCAGCTGAAGCAGAAAGTGGTGCTTTTTTCTGTTGGCATCCAGAGCCATACTCCCTTGAAACAAAAAGATTAAGGAACTTTTGGGGGAGATTTCCTGCTGGGCCATGCACTGGGAGGTGCTCATATTTTTTATTGTAGTATTCTAAGGTTCCCCTTTCAGACTCATGAGACCATGGTTAATTTGAGCCTCTAGCCCATAGGAATTACATGATTATTTGCTTTTATAATTTTTAAACCTCGAGTGCGGCTTCAAAGTTCCGTGCCTTAAAAATTGTCTGCCAAAGCAAAGGGTGGGGTGCAGCTATAGATAAGAGTGCATTATTATTTGAGGAATAATGTGTAGCTGTGTAATAAAAAAAAAGTCTGTAATTGCATCTTCATATTTTAGACAGTTTTTCTACAGGTACCACCTTATATGAATAATCTTCCAGTTGCTGGCACAGGGCCATTACAGCTTCCTTTAAGGGATGAAATATTGAATCTCTGAACTAAGATTTATTTTCAGGTGTGGCTAAGTTCTCATTGCCTAGTTGTAAACCCTTTACTTGAGGATCACATTATGAAGCATATCAGTTATGGTGGCCTGACAGCCCTTCCCTAAACCAAGAGAGTTTGGATGAAGATGCAGGTTATTTGAGATGGTGGTACCTGGTTTTGTTCTAAGGTCTTTTCCTGCAGTTCTGGGTGGGATCAAAGGACATCAAAACCTCTGCTGACATCCCCCCCCCCCCCCCTTTTTTTTTCTCTTTTGCTTGTAAAGAGCTGATGTCAGTCACTTTAATTTTATCCTATAATCGAATGTGTTAATATGTTTATATTCTTAGCATTTCATTAATTTTCAAGAGGATTACTGTACTCCTGTCAAGATAGGTAGTTTTCTCACAGGCATTGGATAAATTATTCATAAGAAAAATTATAGGCTGCAACAATAGAAAATATTTATGGGACTGCTTAAAGGCAAGCTAGTTTCTGTTTTTCTCACATGCTTGGGATATAGCAGTCTCCTATCCACCCTTCCTGCAAAGACTTGTAAAGAATAAATTTCTTCTTTCTTTTCTTTTTTACCTCTTTCCTCTGCAGCATTAAAGCTGGGTCCAGAAGCATTTAAATTTGATGGCGGTGTAGAGGCGGTGGCAGTGCGGCAGAATGAGAAGTATTACATCCTAAGACCAGAGGTGATTGAGACCTACTGGTATATGTGGAGATTCACCCATGATCCCAAGTACAGGCAGTGGGGCTGGGAAGCAACGCAGGTAACTGTATTAATTATCTGTCAGTAATTTAATTCTATGTATTTTCCTTTTGTAGTCACGTCAGTGTCGTGGTACTGAAACACTTCAAATGGTAATCGATTTTTCACAAGTTCCTGTAAACCAGGGTACATATGGGGGTGCATGCAGTTATTCCTGTTTTGCAACTGCTGAATCAGATGCACAGATGAGAGATGTGTTCAGCTTTATACAGCTGATGAGTTTTAGGCATGGAAATAGAATCCACTGGTCATGACTCCTACTGTTATCAGTAGTCCACAGCCCCCAAGAGGGCTAATTTATCTTGGGAAATGAAAGTGTATTATAAATAACTTTAAGCAGGTGTTCGCACTCAGTTTAGAATAAAAGACAAAGCTATTCTTACAGTTTCTTCTTGGTCAGCTATTAAAACACAAGTGGTAGGACAACTGTTCTCAGATGGTTTGTAGACTAGATAGCATGTACATACCTATATGTGGGTTGGTATCATGGCTTTTTCTTTTCTTAGTTGTCTGATTGGAAGGAAAAATTTGCCAGTCGGTTTAGATTTACTCAACTATAACAAAAAATTACAGCATTGCAAGAAGTAGATCATAAAATAAAGTCATTAAGTAATGGCACATAAGGCAGAACTTAAAAATTGTTGCTAAGGTATTTTAGAGATTGTTGCGTTTTTTTGTATAGCTGCTTTCCTGAGTTTAAATCTAGTTGTTGAATATTTTAATCAAATTCCCGAGTGTGAAAATGCTTCTGAGTCTTTCCCATTGGAAATGCTTGTACTGGTCTACAGAAGCCCAGGTTCATTGTAAGACTCTTGACACAGATCTGAGGTCATGGCCTCCTTCATTCATCCTTTGTACGTAGATGGATAACGCCTTTATCTGGTAGTCATAGATTATGGAATAACTATAGCTGTATTAATAACTAGGCTTTATTTTCACATGACAGTGTAATATTCTAATTGTAAAAATTATTTCTAATCCCCAAAAGACTTAGTCCTTTAAATGCTTCCTAGGGCTGAACTTGGGAGCCTTTTTTGGTCTCATGTTTCTCACTGCTTCCACCTGCTGGTCTGTACTGGGCTCCTGCAAAACTAATTTGCTGGCCAAGCAGTTCTCTGGTCATCTTCAAGATCCGTGAATTACTACTGCTTCTCCACTTCCCCGCTACAGCTCCAGCAGTCTTTGGAAACACAGGTCAAAGCCAGTTTCAGAGATGAGCATAAACATTAAAGATAACAAGACGCTAATGAAATATTTTCACTGCAGCCAAAGGAGATGAGGGAAGAGCAAAGGAAGAGGTGAACCAAGAGCCTGGAGAAACTTTATTCTGCAGGTGAAAACCAGTTTTGCTCCAGAGGCAAGAGACCCAGAAAAAGTACTTGGAGGAAGAGATCTGTTGAGAAACCTGTATTCATCAAGTGGAAGATAGTTAAGGCAGGTTCAGAATATTTAGCTGAGCTCATCCCTATCCTTCCCTCAGCACAGTTACAATCATGTGGAAGCATCCAAGTATTTTAAGATTGTGTTCTTAGTCTTGCTTAGGTTTTGCCTTGTAGACTGTTCCGTTATAACCAACATGATGTTATTCTGGAGAGAGGTTTCACATTTGTCACATTTGTATTCCAGAGTGCATTGCTGCTCTCTCCAAAACATCAAACATTGAGGCACATCATCCCTCCTGCCCAAACCGTGCATGTTTCTAATGTGACAAAGAAACGGATTTAGTAACTTACTCCTTGCCAGCGTGTGTACTACAAATGCTTGCTGATCTAACACCAGCTCTGTCAGAAGCTATGGCTGGATGATCTAGGCTGAGATTGGGTCCTTTGTACTAAATTAAAGAATTTACAAATGTACATTTTTTCAGGCCAGGATCTGTCTCTTAAGCACACTGCATAGCATATCTTTGAATTGCATTTTGTTCAGTTTTCTCCATTTGTCTTCATATCTTGGCCCCCATTAACGCTTTCAAACCAAACCTTCCCTTCTTCCTCCCCTGCCTCCAATTTTCTCTGTGTGCAGAGTAGGATTTTATTTTCTCCGTCAGCCTTCATCGAAGCTGTGTAAATCAAGCAGCCCATGTGCTTAACTGCCTCTGTCCTTACGGAATGACTTTTTTTGCTTGCTTCCTCAATAAAAACTTTCTTTATCCAACATAGCCTTAAAATGTTTTTGAACTCTGCGTAAATGGTTTTGCATACCTCTCCCTCCTGCTTTACAGATTTTATTACCCCACCATCATACTAACATAGAAGTTTGGGAAGCTTTTTGTTCCTCAGGGTTTTCTGTTCCCTGCATATGGAAAATAAGTTATTGTGTTTACTTCTCACACCTACTCACTACTTTTCCTTCTTCCCTACCACACACAACTCTGGTTTATTCCTCCATTTATAAATAGAGAAGAATCTGGTATGACACACAGAGCAGTTGACTTGCTGCTCTTGTACAACACTGTCTGTATTTGCTTTTCTTTTGCCTTTCAACCATTGAAGCATACTTTGAAATCTGTATTACAGACCTTTCATGGTGAATGATAGTTTCTTCATCAGAAGTCTAGCAGTTCTTTTAAACTTTTGGGGAAACTGAGTTTTGTTTCTGAGTTCTAAATGGTCTTATTTTTCTGCATTGAACCTGCTGTAATGTGGTGTTTGATGACTGGGTTCTTGGTGGTCTCCCTTGTTTGTTTCTTTGGATGGATGAATACATCCCTAACCGAGTGGATTTGGGTTAGTTCACCAATATGTTAGAGGTCTGCTTCTGTCATTTTAGGAACTCTTCAGAGATGATCAAGGATATGTTGCAGAACCACCTGGCTTTTAAGTATACTGCATTACTTAAGTTTCTTTAGCACTCCCAGCCCAGATCTCACGCTGCCTTTTATCAATGGGAGTTTGCACAGAGGGCTGGACTGTGTGTGTATGCAGATCTATGTGCTGTACTTTATCTATTTCAGGATTGGCACCTTCTTTTTGGCTTTATTATCTAGATTTTTTGGACAAAACTTGGGCATTTTAGTGTAGATCTTGTGCCTTGACCAAGGCCTGTTTTGTCACATCTCTCCAAATGCAGTGTCTGTGGTAGAAAAACCAGGAAGTTGAATCTTATATTCCCTCAGTGATCATAAATACCTGTGACAGGGTCTCTCTCTCCTTCCTAATAAAAAAAAGGCTAATTCTCCCTAATACTATACTTAGCACTAAAGACAACATCCATCTCAATTGTACTGGGTCAGCCAAATTGGATGATGGTATGCTGGGGGGCTGGCTGAAGTATTACAGAAATACACATGCAAGATATTCAGGGTAAATACAGAAAATTACTAAAATCCTTTTTAGGCTAATTATTTGAAAGCAATAAGAGTCACCACTTCACAATAGGTATGTAAAGCCAATTACTAATCTAAGCTGTGTGAATGAAGGGTTCAGCTATTTGTTAGGGACTTGTGTATCTGACTAAATAGGATTGCACCATGGAGATTGCAGAATTCATTCAGAGTTTCTACTTACGGTGAAGATTGACAGCAAGATGGAGTTGGAAGACCTATAGCTCTCTACTTAGTGAAGCAAAGTAGACAGAAAAGAGGCGGGCATAGGTTGGAGGTAAAAGAAACATGGGTTCACGGTTCATGGGTTGGAAGCTCTGAGAACCACAGCTGGTGGAGAAACTGGCACAGTTTTTATGAGCATGTTGGTGGTATAGTCTAGAAGAGTCACACATGCATCCACAAAAACACCCTTAGAGGAACTGAGGGAGCTGGGGTCTGATCTAGAGGCACCTCCAGTTTTATTTCCAAAGAACTTAGATCAACTCTGATCTCCCCGAATGTGGCAGGCCCTGAAATTTCACTTTGCGTCATTTTTGAGCCAAGACGTGTATTTGGCAAGAGTACGCTGTTGCATATTCTTCTGTTCTACTCTTGGTTTGAATAAAGGGAACTGGAAAATCCACTTCTTTTGGTATTTTATTCCATTATTGAATTACTTGTACTGTTAAAAATATATGCTTTATTTCCTATTTGAATTTGTCTAGTTTCAGCTGTCAATCACTGGATTTTCCTATGACTTCCTATACCATAGTAAAATGTCTTTTATTCCCCCATGTTTTCTTTCCAAAGAGTTTTCATAAATTGTAATAAACTTGCTACTAAGTCTACTTAAGATGCTAAACAAATTGTATTGTCTCTCGCTGTGAAGCATTTTCTCCAAATGTCTGCCTCCGCATCCGTTCATCATCCTTTTCTAAAAATGAGTTCTAGAATTGCATATTCTGGTTTTGACTTTACCCACAGCCCTGTGCAAAAGTAAAATTATATCCCTGTTACTGTTTACTGTCCCTGCGCGTGCACCTGCCACAATATCCTAGCAGGAACTCGTACTGAATTGTCTCATGTGGCCACTGAATTCTTTGAAGCATCTCTACTTTCTGGTTCTGCAGTTACACAGCCTTTATATCTAGATTTAGGATTATGTGCCTGGTTATATGAAACTCATTTTGTTTGGGCTCCAGTAACCGCCAGGTTACACTGCTGTTACCTGGGTCGTTTTTGCCAGCAGCAGCGTTGCAGTGATTGATAAAACTTCAGACTGCTCCTTGTGGATCTCTGTGAGAAGCAGCTGTATTTGGTGATGATTTTACATTGCCGGTTCATTCTTAGGGCACTGTCAGTCAGTTTTAAGATAGTGATACTGATATGGTATAGTGCTGCTTTGTCTTATTGTAACATCTTATGGTACCATATCAATTGCTTTAGAAACTTTTAAGTTTATTACAGCTCAGCAGTTACCTCTATTTGTCAATTTGTAGACCTCAAAGAATGAAATCAAGCTTGAGAGCAAGATGGTTCTCTATAAAACCATGCTGATTGGTGTCAATTATCCGCTTATTCGTCAGTATTTTTTACATGTGTTTCTGTAGTTGTTTGGAACTAACATCAGGTATGCCATCCTAAAAGTATTCAGCCTGCCCAATGCCTCATAGTAGTAGCATTACCTTGATACCCTTCCAGTCATCTAGGACTTCCCTGTATTCTAGGGTGCAATAAATTTAGCATTGTTTTATCAAGGAGACTGGTCTTCAGCTCTTGAATGAAAGAGTATCCAGGTGGCAAATCAGATACCCCTACACCAAGTACTCCGAGGTCTGTGTGAAAGCAGAACACTGCAAATTTCAAGTGCCTTCTAAGCAGCCTGTCTACAGCACCAAACTTTTCAGCCAGTGTCTTGAAGTTCTGTACACCTCTGAGTCAAGGACAATTTGTTGATCTATATTTGGATGAACAGCTGTATAGCAGTCTTTCAGAGGAATTTTTCCTCTACAGCTCATTATTACCTGCAGTGTCCAGATCTCTGACCAGCTAGGATAAATCCTCTGCCTATCCTGAACTCCAGTCTAGCCAGAGTCTGTCTCTCTAAGGAGAAATTTCTGAAGGTACAAGACTACTTGGTAATTGTAAGGGAAAAAAAAAATCAATATATATCACATGTTTTCTTTCTTCAGGCTTCTAGGCCTGCTAGCTTCACCAGTGTTTCACTTAGTTATCCAAGCATGAGACCTCTGCAGCACACAGCAGGATCTCAGTGCTATCTATTGTCTGCAGTCTCCAGAATAAAGGAATTGAAGGAGACAGTGTCCTAACAGTGGTACCGTTCGTTCCTTCTCCTCCTTTTGCCACAATCCCTGGCGAGTTTCTCCTGTCCGAGCTGAGGTGCACAGCGTCAGGGTTACTGAATCGTTGACCAGAGGAACACCTGCAAGGTCAGACTCTGCATGCTAGAAATTCTGGCAGGATTGTAACCACTGGAGCTTTCCTCTGCATTTTGCCACACTCCAAAGCAGAGGCAAGGTCGTGTTCTGCACTGTTATAAAAAAGGGGATAGTGGCAAGAGGAGGCACTTCATTTCCTGCCTAGAAAGCAAAAGTGCTTTGGCTCTTGTTTATTCACACCACGCCTGCCTAGTGGCTGTAGGGCTTGTGGGGAGGAACGTGCAAATGGTTCCATAAACAGTGTAAGTATTATTTCTTCAGAAGTCAGCCAAACAATTAATTTTTTTCTTTTTTTTTTTGTTTTTGTTTTTGTTTTTGTTTGGCTGCCATGTGATAACTAGCATCACTGGTGATGTGCAGGAGCATGCAGACAGAGATTGTCGTGTGTGTGATGCTGCTGGGCTAGACGTGTCACGTACACCTTTCTCTCTAGACTGTAGAGGAAAGCTGGGCAACCCTAATCCCAGCATGTGAATAGTCTCAGCGTAGCCCTAGCCTGCACCAGTAACCAGATCTGAAAAGTATTCATCCAGACACTTTCTCCTTTTAGGCTCAAGTCCCAACAAAAGAGGGAGCGTTTCCATCCGAACTTGGAGAAAGTTCCACTTGAGATATGAATTACGGTGAGAATTAGATTTTGCCAAGAAAGGCAGTACCTTTCTTGGCATAAGCTCAGGCTCTAGAGCCACAGGCGTCCAATAACATCCTTTTGCCAGTCTCTTCTCTGGATTCTTTAAAAATCTTGGTCTTCAGAAATTTGAAAGAACTCTGTAGTCTGGATTATTCTTTGATCCATGAACAACCTCACGTTTCCACAGGGTAAGAGTGTATAGCAGGAGGAGGTTAGCTGTAGTACCTGATGTGCTGTGATTTACTGTCCTAGGTGCCTTGCTTATTTGCCTTTCCACTTTTCCTCCTGATTTCAGTGATGGCATCTGCCAGCATTCTTCATGCATGTGTCCAGTGGAAAATTCTCCTTTGTCTCCCAGTATTTCTAGTATGCAAAGGCTATAGTAAGGACCTTGAAGAGTTCATTTTGATTGATTGAGTTTTTCTCTGCATAAAAAGGGACATCATTCAAAATCTATTTGCTCCCCTGCCTTGACTTCACTCAGCTTCTGTTGAGTATAACTAGCAAAAATCAGAATTAACAAAAATCTGGGCCTAAAGCACCATGCGGAGAGAAACTTCATACAGGCTGACGGCCTGAATCATAGATTACTGAACTACAGGTAGCTACGTTCGGTAGTTGGTAATGACAGACATCCCGAGCCAAACATTTTCCTTCATCACTGTGTCTTTTCTGTCCCTGCATGAATCTATTAAAAGAGACGGTGTCTGCTGAGGAAGCACTGCCAAAGCAGCAGGGAAGCACAAATAACCTGTGAATCATTTCAGAGTCATTTCTTTGGGGCCGGTTTTAATGGCTGATATCCTTGTGTGCTGTAAGGTCGTGCATGTGAGTGGAATAATGAAAGCGTAGGCGAGAGGTGCTCTGAGCTACTAATGCGTTCTTTCCAGTCTCCTCCTCTTCCATTGTGCTTTTTGCAGTACTGTGTTGGAGCTGACTAGCTGGGTGATTTGTGAATCACGGATCCATTGGCCCCTTTCTGCATGGAATGTTTATGGATTTAAACTTCATGCTTTAAAGATAAAGAGCTCTTCTGCAGTCCAGCACACAAGCTGACTTGAGTTTCAACTGTATAAAGGGGAAACAGAGAAGAGCACATGTAGGAGATGGAAATGTGGGGAGAAAGCAGCAGCTAGAAGAGTTTATAAGATGAAATCAACAGTCCCTAAAGATGAGTACAGTATTTTATTCCTATTTTCAGTAAGTCCCTATGACTAGCTACTAGTCACAGAGTTCCTATAACTCTTCAAACTCTTCCAGCTGCAAAATCCAGGGACATTTGTCATCTTCCTATGCACCTCATAGCATATGTTGCGTTGATTGACTGATGGATGTATGTTCTACTCAGTGTTACCTCTGAGGAGCCGTACCAGCTCAGAGCAAAAGTCTACTGAGTCCATGTCCTGTCATCAGTATCAGTCAACAGTAAATACCCAGGAAAGAAAGTATTCTTCCCAAGAATACTTTCTTAGCATCTAGCAGTTTGCCAAACGTGGTGTCATTAGTAGCCCTGGAGCACTTTTACTTCTGTATGTGTCCAGTCCCTTTTCATTTTTTTTTGGTCAGCGTAAACCGTTAACATCCACAGCATCCTCTGTCAAGGAGATTCACAACAGAGTAATGCAGCACGGAAAGAGCTACCTCCTTTGTTGATCAAGCCTAATCCTTTAATGTTTCCATATTTTGCTCTACAATTAAATTCTCCTTTTCTTTTCCCTTCTTCTTTGCAGGCAATTGACAAGTATTGCCGAGTCAGTGGTGGCTTTTCTGGGGTCAAGGATGTCTATTCCTCATCTCCTACATATGACGATGTACAGCAGAGCTTTTTCCTTGCTGAAACTTTGAAGTAAGTTCTCTTCACTCCTACATCTTCTGTAAAAGCTAGCATCTGAATTCTAGAATACAGTGGCTCAACAAATAAGCTCATATCTTATCAGGGTGGTTTATGGTTTCGTTAAGCTTTTTTCCCCAGCTTTCAGGTCTCAGCCCATTTCACCAGCAGAAAATACAAGCGGAATTTCCTATACAAGAAGCTTGTGCTGAGAGAGCTTTAGGTTTTAAGATTTCTATTTGATTTCTGTCATCACAGCAGAGGAGAAGGTTATCTCCTTTTAAGAAATTCCTTGTGCAAAAGATATATTTTTTTTTTTAGATACACTGACTTGACATGTCTTATACAAGTATGTGCCATGCTCTGATACTGTAGAACTTGTTTCTCCTGTGCATGTCACTGGAAGGGAGTAAATGGATGGAACAAAAGTCCTTTGTGCCCTTGGATGATTTTTCTGTATTTATTCCACAACATATTTTTCTAGAATGCTTCTTGGTGTAAGGAGGAATATCAGGCATATTTTATAATCTTATTTTCAATTCAGTCAAATCAGTAGGACACCTGTAGTCCACCCTGCAGAAGCTAAAGCACTCTGTTGCATATTTGGTTGAAGGTAAAATGTTCAGTCATTGGTCTTCCACTATGTTTCTTTTTAATTAATAACAAAAAATGTGATACTAGAATATGCTGTAACCTCTAACTTATGGAGATGATACATACAATAAGAAAAACTAGTATAAAGAAAGGAATATGTTACGGGGATTTTATTAAGAGATCTGTTTTTAAAACTGAGCTAGCGTGTCATGGCTGCTCATCTCCTTCATCATTGACACAAAGCAGCTATCAATAGCACTGTTCTGTCACACGGTTGTGATTGCTCTGGGGTTTTGCCGATGAAGCAACGTCTTCTAATGTGTGACAAATTTCTTGATACTCAAGTTACACCAGCAAATTTGCTAACATAATTCTGGTGTTGAAATCTACCAAGATTCCTGTATTGGTTACCTCCCTGAAATCTTGTGAATTGTCTACTTTTGGAAGAAAAGTGTCCAAGTTGGCTGTATTCCCTACCCCTTTTTTTTTCTTCCTGCATAACAGTTTGGGGAATGTTTTAATTGGTTAAATCCATAGACAGAAGCCACTGCTGGCAGTGTGAATGAGGCCAGAGCTGCTATTAGGAGACATAGTTGTTGTCTCTGCTTACATATCCATACCACTTTCTGCCAATGTGTGATGGAAGGGATGATGCATATGTTGTTGCACAAACCTGTCAGCAACGAAGACTCATTAAGGTGCCCTTTCTGTCTTTACAACCCAGTGATATGACGAAAAGACAGTTGTAACCATTTAGCAGTCTAGCATGGCATACAGGCTTTGCAGAACAAACAGCGTTTCTATACAGCAGCAGAGTTTACAGTATCAGCAATATCAAATTTTCAGGTTTTAGCTGTAGCAGATATATGTGAAGATTGGGTTTGGGTATTGGGAGCTCAAAATGCAGCGGCAAGAAAGCAGGTCCTGAAAGTGGCAGTACTGGTGCCTACTTCAGGCACCACAACACATTTCACTGGCAAGAAGGGGCTCCGAATTCGTCCCATGTAAGGGGAGAGTCTGGCTATTCTCCCCTTCTGCTGGCTCCTTACCAAATTCCTCTACATAATCACAATACTTTGTTTTCCCATGTTATCATTATAAAAAGAAAGCCACTGCTACCTCCTCTGTTGTCTTTGTTAATTTTATTTCACTTACTTCTTCAAGTTCATTTTCTGGAGACTAAAAGCTATACTCCAAAGAGAGAGGCAGCAGTTTCAAACAGGTCCAATACCTCCAATACCAAGCAATACCTCCCCAGGAGCTGATCTTATGTGATTGATCTGCCTATAAAAGCCAAATCAGAGAATGAAATCTGCTCCTAAGGGACTTCTGCGGTGACAAGGCTGACCTTTGAAGTATCGCCAGAATCCTGTCTGCATCTTAAATAATCACAAGGAGATCTGAAAATTCACTGATGCATCACTCAGTAACTGAACGTACTATAGTGCAAGCATTGCAAAAGAAGGCAGTTCTAGGAAGGAACTCAGAAATTTTTACTGGCTTTTGGTTTGGATGATTTCCTGCTTGTGGGACAAAACAAAGTGTTATTGGAGAGCTGGATATTGGACGTTTGACATTGATGCGACTGGCATAGCCAAACCAGAAACTGGTGTTACCTTGAGATAAAATAGAGAATGTAAGGTCAGGATAGCTCAAATGGCTATGAAAATAAAGACAGAAGGATTGGGTGTGATGCCATGAGGAAAATGAAGATGTCCGTCAGAAGTGGGACATAAAATGTGTGTTACGGAATGCCTGCTGTGATCATTTCTGCTATTGATGGTAACTCCGCATCTTCATTTCCCTCAAATTCAAAATTGATACCTCTCCCAAACGTGTATTGTTGCTGCTTGGATACTTTGGCTCAAGATACTCAGCAGATTATGAGAGTTTGAGCAGTATGAGAGGTAAGGAGGTAGCTGTTGAGTGGGAAGCAGCAAGATGTAGAAACAGGTTGCTTGAGTTATTCAAAGCAAAAGCGTGAATCAGATGAGGAAGGTGAGTTTGAGTAAGATAAAACATTGCTGCTGTGGTGAAAAAGAGTTTGGAGAGCTGCAGAGGGAGAAAGCAAGGTAGGGGTAAGGAGGAAAGGAAAGGTATGGTGTTTTAAAGATGAATGAAAAATGTAGAGAACGAGACTAGACATGCAGAACAAAACTGAATCATCTCAGCAAGAAGTTTTTATCTGTAAACAGTTAATTGGTGAGGAAGGGAAGAAAAAGTAGAGCTTCACTGACTGGGTTGTGCTGTGGATACAACTGGCAAATAAATGCAATGGGAGAGCGGTCAGGCAGTGACACACGACTGTAGACGGTAGACACTACCAGTGTCTGATTGAGAAGTAAGAGCAGCCTCCGCAGAGCGAAGGCAGAACTTGTGTGCACGTTTTGGATGTGACAGAGCTCACTGATGGGAGTGACCCCCCTTCCTTGTCAAGTGCTGCAAGACCTGCCGCTTTCTGGATGGCAGGAAAGCAGGCTGTAGGAGGAGCTGAGAGGTCCTGTACCCCCGCGATGTTACGCTTGCACAGTCAGGTTTTCTGGAACAAGGGAAATGCCTTTTGAATTGTAGCAATTGAGTTTGAAAGCCCTGACAAACATCCCTACCACCAATATATCCTACAAAGTATAGCACAGCCACGTTCAAAAAGCGTGTTAAGAAAAAAGAATGAAGAAATAATCTTCTTCCACATATGTCCAGAAACCTTAATTTTGTTACACGCTTCAATTGCTCTGCATTGCTTTATAATGCACAACATTTATGAATCCCCTCTGCACAATATATTGGCCCATTTCCTCCCACCAGAAGCTGAACCAGCTTCCAGCATGGTGATGACAAGTCAGATATCTGGCATGGCTTAGTGCCTTCCCTTGTGCTTCCTCAAAATCTTTGATTTGTATTAAAAAGGATTAGTCATTTCCAACTGGGTTTACTCCATTAAGAAGAATTTTTTGTGAACTTCTGTGCTCCCCTGCCCCCCAAATCCTCGTGCTTGGTGTCTTGATGTTTGGTTTACATTGCAAGTCTTTGAAAGGAGTCTTGAAAAACAAAAGTTACTTGGAAAGCTTAAAATGCTGTCTTTACAACAACTTTTCATTGAAGGGCTCGACCATAATAAAAATGACTCTTCAGATCATTATAATAGGGCAGGTTGTGTGGGTGCTATACAAAGATTGAAAGCAAGTAACTTGTTCATAGCTTTAGCTGCTGTCTGGTGGGGCTTGAAGCTGCTGTGTTGCCGCTGCCTGTCTATTGCTCTGCTTTAATACCCACCATTTTTTCTCTCTGTGTTGATATCTAGGTATTTGTATCTGCTTTTCTCCAATGATGACCTTCTACCATTAGACAACTGGGTTTTTAACACAGAAGCTCATCCTCTGCCTGTTTTACATTTAGCCAACGCCACACTGTCAGGAAATCCTGCATATCGATAAAAACAGCTCTATGAAGAGGAAGAGAGACTGTTTTCAGCTCTGTTTTGTTTACATGGACCACTTGAGACTTTAAGCAGGAGAGGAGACAGACACTTGATAAAACTAGACCTCTGAATCAAGCAAGTACCGGCGTGAGAAATGAAGCTCTTCACATATAGCTAAGTTAAAAGTTCTGTTTTATACATGACCAAAACACATTAGTGTGGTATTTGCAGGACAGAGACTTCATGTGCTTTGAACCCTAGCAAGACATGGAATCTACTGTTTAATATAAACGCAGCAGCATAAGGAAGAAGAGGCTTTCCCATGTGGGGAGAGGAACTTGCTGCTGCTGCTGTTCGCTGTTGCAAGGAACAACACACCAGTCACCTCTTCAGGTCGGGTGGGTTCCAAATACCTAGAATTTATTTTTCTTTTTTTTTTTTTTTGTTTGTTTGATGATGGCATGAACAAAGCAAAAACAAAAAGCAACATCACTGCACCAGCAGCATCAGGATTTGAATTTTTTTCTGTACCTGTCTGAATTTTCTAAGGAGTTTGTGTTTGTCCAGACTGGCAGCCATTCTCAGGGCCTCTAAGCTATTAAAAATAAAGTCTATAAAATTGCCGCCTCATTTTCCCTTTTCAAAATAATGCTGAAAGATCTGTGTTGTATGCTTACATCCAAAAAGACAATGAGTAAGCATTTGGTTTGTAGTTCACTGTCAGCGATGTGGGTTTAGTTCATTTGGCAAGCTACAGTCACAGTCTGGAGCATATCGCAGGGGTAGGAAGGAGCCTAAGTTTCCCTTCCTCACAAATCCTGTCACATGGTAAAAAACATTCTCTTATTAGTCCTGGTTCTTTTAGCTAAATAAACAGAGATGACAACATGAGAAAAACAGTCTCTTGTGATTTATCTAGGAGGATACAGTATATGGCACTTAAAAATGCTCCCCTTGAGCTAAGCAGCAGGAGTTTGTTGCTTTATATTTTTCCACACAGTCTGGATTTTTCCAAAAAGTTAAATTTCATTCTTTGGATACTATTCATGGAACCTTCTTTGCAGATATGTGTATGACAGAAGCCCAAAACTGCCTTTGATTTAGTTTACAAAACTCCTTTTCTTCTGGGTGCTCCAGTACAAAGCCAACATGATCTTCCTTGGAAGCAACATAACATCTCTTACATATGAGTGGAAAAAGAAACTGAAGAGTCTCTTCTTCCATTAGTTTATGAGAAATGAGATGCTGCTACCTGCATGGGTTTTTTTTCCAAGTACTCCTTGGCTGGACTGGACAGTATCCCTTAAACAGAGTCTGCTTCAGTCTTCACTTATTTGCTAAAAGAAATTTCATCTTTTCGGGTATATCTCAATCTCTTTTTTTTTTTACTGTTGTTCTGGAATCCTTACAGCTCAAATTATTCTTTGCGTAAGGGGAATAGCCTTTATAGCTCTCAAATCCTTTCGCCATGGTGACTGGCCCCTCTGCTGAAAAAGAGCTGCGAGGTGCTCCTTTCCCTCCTAATTAGTGCACAGGTTGAGTCTGTAAAAAAAAATCTTGGTTGTGTTTTCATACTGAAGTGAGTGGAAGAACTCTTCAGTGAGCGACAGCAGTACAGGATCAGATCTAAAGGGAGTGAGTGCTATTTGTCCCCCTCAGAAAATGTTTTTATATGAAGTTTTATATATAAAAGCTTTTCTCTCTATCATATTATGATATATACCTCCCTGTACCTTATAGTAGCATTTCCCCCATAAAATTTTCCTTCACTCATCTTTGACACTAACTTAGACATAGAAATCATCACATGATCTAAGAAGAAAAAATGCTGTCGGATGCTTTTTTCCAGACACTTACTTTAGTTTAAGGGGCAGAAGACGCAGAGCTTGGAAAAAACTCCAATCTCAATGTTTTTACTTTAATACCAGTTACTTAAGTTACTGTAATTTGCAGCAGTATCTTAAAAATAATTTGAGACCCGATAAAGTAATTGATACAGTAAATAATACTGATTCAAGTAATTGTTTATTTAAAATTAGAAGTAGCTTAATAAATGGATTCTTCTTACTGGTCCCGCATTAATTTATTTTTCTAATTAGTATTCAGTGACTTACTGAAGAGCTAGTCATTTTCCAAAGTTCAGATACATTGTGTTTTCAAATTAAGTTTTTCCTATCCCATGAGAGCTGTTATTAGTTTAAAACTGCACTCGATTGCCTTGTTCTCCTAAATCTCTCTGGGTACAAAGGAGAAAGAGGAAAATGAGCCTCTTCTGTTTAAAAAAGACAAAAAGAAAAAGGCACTTTCCACCCCATACACCTCCAGATAAATGCAGATGTAGAATGGCTGCCAGTCTGTTCAGAGAAAGGTCAAGGACAGAATTCTGGAGTCCCAGAAACAGCAAACTTCTTATCATTGCTGCTCTTCCATCCCCCTCTCGTGAATTAAAGAGCGACCCTTCAAATTACTTCCTCCATGAATCCCAATGGGTTAACTCACTGCCACAAGAATGCTTGAATTGAGGACCGAAGCCATTTCATGTTATGGGATGGTATTTTTCTCAAAGCAGATGTACAGTACTGCTATTTCTTCTTTGTGTAGACAAGCAGCAGGTACCAAATAAAGGACACTTGTTTCTCGTTTTCCAGTTACCCCAACGGCTGTCAGTTTCTACTCTATCACTCTTTAAAATACAAACTATCCTTTTCCTCCAGAAGCTACTGATGTGCATAGTCTATCAAAAATAATGCATTTTAAGGACTAATTGCTGTGTCATTCATGAATCTCTCCATCCTGAGATTTCCTAGAGCAAGCTGAGTTTGGAGGTCATGGGTTCTGGGCGAGGTGTGTGCATAATAACCACGCACCACGGATATTGAAACTTCTGACTGAAGTGACGTGCCCTCATTCCGAGTCCTTCACAGAGAAGTAGGTTCTGATCTGCAGAATGGCATTACGTGCAACCCAAAGTTCAGACTGTTTTCCCTCTGGGTACGTAAGGTACAGTAGAATATTGCCATTTTCATTCTGTTGCTGCTGTCTTACATACTTTCATGAAGATAGAGTGTAAATTTAAGCACAAAATGACTTTTTAGTCCTAGTCGTTTCCGAGTCTTGCACTGTATTCTCTAACAAAACAATCCTCGTTTTCTTTAGGTAGCTGTCCCATTTTAGCAATTTCTGCAATACCCTCTCCTCTTACAGGATAAAATAAAGAACAGAATATCATGTACGGTTTTGGCACACTGGATTTGGGCAAGAGCCTGGAAATCCCAGAATTGTCTATTTCCTGTTTGCATGCAGTCAAAACAAGGATGTTCAGTTCTTTTCCTAATCCAAGCTTCAAGCTTGCCTGTTGGTCAGGATCTGCTAGCAGTAAATTTTTTTCTAACACTTACAGCTTGACTTTTCAAAGAAGCCAGGTTTCTGCAGCTTCCTTTGACCATCCTGGAGCTGTGTGTCCCCTGCAGTCAAGAAGTCAACTTCTTAGCTTTGTCCTCTAAATAAAAACAAAGCCCTTGAATGATATTCCAGGTGTTCATTTTGCTGCACAATATAGTCCTTAAAACTGAATGTTTAAGTAAAGTATGGAAAATAGTAAGTATGCTGGAGTAAAGGGAAAAGCAGGTAGTTCCCTGTGCCAGCCACACCTTCGAGGTTGCTTTAGCTCCCTACTTCAAATTTGTGGATCACTGTCTTCTGCCGCCCAATCACCGACATATTCCCACCTAGTATTTTACAAGATTTGAATGTTGAGTATCTCGGTACTGAAAAGTGCAAATAATTACACACTCCCTGTAATATCATCCTTTAAGGTTAAAGGTCTACCCTGTGCTGGTTTACAGCTAAGCAAAGCCCTGTCGGGCTGTCTTTTATGAATCCCCTCTTCTGTCCCTGAGGAAATGATATTACAAACCTTCATAATGTGACTCTCCCTAGTTTCAATGGAGAAGTGGTTAATAGCATTAACATTGAAAGGATCGACAATGTAACCTGGCATCCACAGAAAACGGTGAGGCAGTTTACATCTCAGGGCTGTCATAACAGGCTTTTAGCAAATCGAGCCTGTTAGGTACATTAATAAGCCTACTCCATGTTTTTAAGGGGACAAATAAGAAACAGGCTTCTTGTTAACAGAGAAAAATGAAAGCAAGCTCTTGATCCACACTGTAGTTCAGAGATCTCTTCACCCTGATAAGACATCCCTCTTTTGCTCCTTGAATTTTGAGAAACAGTCTTTTGGCTCAAGAGTTTGAGTTGCTATACAAAGAGGAAACCCAAGCTCTTTTCCAAGTTACTTGCATACAACTGTAGCAGAGATGATAAGCCCTAGCTGCTTCGGCTGTCAGCCCCTTCTAACAAACTGCTCTGTAATCACCCAGAAAAGTTGGGAACCACCGAAGTCAAAGGGACAGCCTGACTTGTTACAGTGAATTGTTGCCTTTAATCTTAATCGCTTAGTGGAAGTTGGATTTGCATTCTGCCTTTATTCTTGCTTTGTCTAAAACTGACAGATTATTTTTCCTCCAAAATAATAAAAGGGCAAAAGTCTATCTTCTGACGTGGAAACCTTCTGCCTCTGACCTGGAATCCTGCATATGTACTTTTTACAAATTAAAAATAATATTGTATATAAAAAAGATTGAATAAAGAATGTCTTTAAGTGAAAAAGGTGCATTTTGTGTCCTTTGCCTCCAATAGCAACCTCCGGTAGCATTGGACTGTGAAACTGATCCTATTTCTTAGTCTTGGTGGTGCTGCAGCTTTTTTTTCCCCTGCAGCCCTACTAGGGACTTAGTCAACTTAAGCATGTATCAAGAACCCCTGTTGCAAAAATAAACCCCTGTACCCCTTTCTTGCTTTTAACAGGTCGTCATAGTGCTCTAGTTTTTCTCAAGATGTAGCAAAATGTACAACAGTTTGGGGCTGTTTCTGTGGGCCATCGTGAAAGCCATCACATTGCACAAAATGTTGAGATTTCTACCCTTTTGTTAAATTTATGTGCAAGTGGCTAAAAAGTTCAGAGGTTCTTAGTGATGAGGGTGAAGGGGGCAGGCAGACAAGCAGTGCTACTAAATAAACTTAATTTTCTTAAGGCACCAAGTTAGAAGCCCAGCTTTTCTTGATACTAAATAGCCAGTGAATGGGTAATTAAGTCCCTCCATCCCTTCCTCTACCCTCTGTGAAAAGCAAGAAGTTTGTAATTGTTTAAATGTTGTTCACAGGGAAATTGGTTTGAGGAGATTGCTTCAAGCGAGCCTGTTTTCCCCCTGTACCTTTAAATCCACTGGAACTGCTGCTGTAGCTCTCTGTTTTGCAGTACAGCAAGTGAATAACCAGATTTGCTTTCTGAGTCGTATTAAGCGTAGATAATCCTTACTGGCTGACATCACCCATATTGCACATACGCGGTACCTTGTTTTCATGGCGTGCCCTGATCACCAACCTGTGTGTCCTGTTTCAGTGCTTTATATCCCATGCCCAAACTTCCCAGCGTGCTCCTGCCTCAGGATGCAATGACCTCCTTCAGTATTACTTCATAAGAGAAAATTGCTTCCAAAGTGCCGTAATTCAGTGCAACACGTGACACCAGGTACGTGCCTGCTGTACCATCCGTCTTGAGATGCAGTTACGCTTTCCAGGCTTTCCACACGAGTGCCGCACGTTCGCGATGCGCCTGCCGTGCCACTGCCAGTGTCTTTTGCATCCATTGGTCTTCCTGTGGTGTGCTCAGCCCTTAATCCACCTGACTGAAATTCACTTCTTGCGTCAAAGCGTGTTTGCTGTGTCTATCCACGTCACATTGTCTCAGCCACTGAGCCCTAACGCACAAAACCTTGCCTCCTGCTCCCAGTACTCTCAAGCTCTCTATCCTTGTGTGTAACAGCCAAGACTCAAGGCTTCACTGCTGTCCTCGCTGCTCTTCAAACAGGATCCTATCCTTTGTGGTTGCTCTGCGTTGCGCTGCATTTTCTCTGCCTCTTCAACAGTGAAGTGTTTCAGCCCCCCTCTGCTTCTACCTCTTCTGAAACACACTTTCTTTGCACCTCCTCTATCCTCATAGCGAATATTCTCTTTTATTTCGCCTTTGGCACTCTGCCTGGGTGTCACCCTCCTCCCTCCCTCCCCTTGTAGACTCTGTGATTGTGTGTGCTCCCTCCTGGAGACCATGTGCCTTTCCTATGCATATTAATTAGCTGTATTTAAAAATCCTGAAATTAATCGTTAATGGGTTATTTTTAGTCTTCATCTTGTAGCTCTGGGAGTTGGCTTCTCTCGGTGCAAAGCCACAGGCATTCTGTGGGCTTTGGAAAGGAAATGTTACTCTATTTGTGCCAGTTGACGTGTGGGATGTGTAAAGGTTGGTGGTGGTATGCTTTTTTTTTTTAATGTGCAGAGCAGGAGTCTTTTTGACAACAATATTATAGACTGAGCACACTCCCATGTGACAAGGTTTGAGAAGAGCAGTCACTCATATAGCCAAACTACTTGCAGGTAAAAATTCAGGGAAGGATTTGGGGAGGAATTAAAAAGCACTGTGTGTCCAAGTGTACCAACAGTTCCACTGTTTTCTTTCTTACATGGTTTCCATTGTACAAGTAGCTATAGGCAACAGGTACCATATAAACCAGAAAGGATGAGCTGCTGCATGACTGAGAGAATAGCATCATGCGTTGGTATCGGATCACACAGAAGTCCCATGTGAACTGCATTACTCGTACAGCTACAAAAAGGAAGAATGTCTCCAAGTCCGTCCTTCCTCACGCTGGCGCTGCGTATTCTGCACACCCATCTCTTCACCAATCCCTGCTGAAGCTTCCGCAAGGAAATCCGTGGAGGAAGCCCCAAAGAATACGAGTGGATGCCAGCAGTCTGCAACATCGCCTGCGCGCGTTGCGGGAGGTGAGGTGCAGGAAGATTTCTCATGTGGACATGAGACCCATCCATGCCTGGTGTGTGGATTGTGCCCAGCATTCCTGTGAATCCCTCTACAGAGCTTCTGGTTTGACTTGAACCATCTGTGAGGCCACGGAATGTATTTTGAAGAAAAGAGTCACTGAAGATGCAGAATTACTTGGGATACCAAAGACAAAAGTTTTCAGGGTAACCAGGTACTATTTTTTATGGGATAAAACCTGCAGGTAAAGGATGTATGGTACATCTCATGTAACTGAACTTCAGTAATGTATGCAGTACTGCATCTTGATTAATTTGTCTTAAAAATGCAAAGTTAAACACAAGAGCTGT